GGGCAGAGCCTGGGGCTCAGGCCACTCAAAGCCATCAATGACGGGCACAATGTTCTTGCCACAGCTTAGAGCAGTCACAATCTCCTAAAGGGAGAAGAGAAAAGAGGAAGAAACCTCTGTCTCATCTAGGAACCCAAGGGCCAGATAGGTGCCGGGGCAGTGGGGAAGTAGGGTGCTGGCCTGGGACTGAGCCCGAAGCAAGACACTGGGCTTCAAATCCCCCCAACTTCTCCTTCACCCCCCTACAGTGAAAAAAAGATTTGATCTTGGGACAGAGCTGTCACTGAGCTCCTAAACCCATTACAGTTTCCTGAGTGATAAGAGTACATCTTCTGCTAATGAGATAACTCCCAGCCAGGGGTGAGCCAGGGCAGTGGCAAAGAGAGGAAGAGGGCTGGTCACCAGAAAGACCCCGGCATGCTTAGGTGACTTCTGGGGAGGGGCTGCAGGTTGGGTTCAATCCCCATGACCAATGATCGAACAATCATGCCTATTTAATAAAACATGCATCAAATCCCCTAAACAGTGGATTTAAAGAGCTTCTGGGTTGGTGAAGAGCCAGGAACTGGTGCCAGAGAGAAGGTAGGGAAGCCCCTTGCCCTCCTTACCCTGCCCTGTGATTCGTTTCCATTTGGCTTTTCCTGAGTTGTGTCCTTTAGAGTAAAACCCACTAAGAGTAAGTCAGGGGTTTTCTGAGTTCAGTGAGTCACAGAGAAAAACTGAACTGGGCTGGGTGGGTGGTGATCATGAGAACTGCCAAACTGATAGTCAAGTCAGACAGAGGTGGCCTAGGCACCCAGGACTTGTGACTGAAGTCAGGGTTTGTGGGACTTGGCTCTTCAGCCTGTGGAGTTGGACACTCCAGGATCAAACTCAATTGAAGGGTACCCCTTTGGTGGCAGAAAATTGATTAGTTGTTAGTGTAGGAAAAACCCCATATAATTTTCTGTCAAAGAAATTCATCTCACCCCTGCATCTATGTGGCTCCATCACAAGCCCTGCCCATTGTACTTACTTATTTCTCAATTCCACATTTTTCTCTACCTGTACCCTGCCTAGCCTTGTCCAATCCCATCCTATTTACCAGGTCTCTCCTCATCCACTCTTGCTCCTCTAATTTGTTTTCCAAAATGCCGTTTCACCGGAATAATCTCTGAAAAATGAAAAACCTGACATATCTGATCATGTCACATCCTACTTAAAACTCCTCAAGACTTTCTCTCTTAGAATAAAGAAGAAACTTTCTAATGCAGACTGAAAGGCCAGTATGGTTGGCCACAGCCCATTTCTAAATCTCTACCCCTTCCCCATCCTCCTGGAAACACAGAACCTACACCCTTAGCTCTGTTATCTTCCTTCCCTGCAGAGGGCTTCTGCCTATGCTGTTTCCTCCACCTTGAACATGCTTCTCTGCCCTTTCACTTGCATCCCCACATCTTTCGGATTTGAGTTCAATCAACAATTTTTTAAAAAATTTTTTTTAGTTGTTGATAGACCTTTATTTTTTAAAAAAATATTATTTCTATGGTGCTGAAATTCGAACCCAGTGCCTCACACATGCCAAGCAAGTGCGCTACCGCTGAGCCTCAGCCCCAGCCCACAGTCAACACTTTTCTAGGGAAGTTGTCCTACTTCCGTGACCAAGTCAGCTTCCCCTCTTATATACTCTCAGGCTCTGCAGCCCAGGCTACAGTTGCAGATTTAAATTAATTAACATGTCGTTTACCTAATGTTTGTTTTCTCTGCCAAACAGAAGGACAGGGGCTGTGTGTGTTTTTTACTCACTTTATTAGCATCTTTCCCAAAGTCCTGCCCATGGTCAGCTCTCGCTAACTATTTGACTGATGGATGAAAGAATGAAACAATGAATGAATGAACAAAGCAACACAGCCCAGCAGTTAGGGGGCTGCACTCTGGAATCATCAGATCTAGGTTCCTAGTGAGTCTCTGACACAAGCTCTGTGACCAGAAGCAAAAATAATGGGGTCTCAAAAGTTTCTGTTTTCTAACATATAAAATAAGGTTAATGACAGTCCTGTATCTTGTACGATTGTTGCATAAAATAACTGCAATATTCCACGGCAAGTGCTGAGCGCAGTGCTGAGCATGTAGTGAATGGTTAAGAAGTAATCGGTGTCCTTATTTCCTCTGTAAAGTGAAAATAAAACCTACCTCACTGGGTGGTTCTGATGGTGTTTCTTACTATTAATGGCACTCTGGTAAGTGCTCATTGAATGCTTTTCCTTTCAAGGGGGAACCACAGGGACGTGACTTTCTTGAGTGCAGTTCACTTGTGGTTTTCCAGATCGATTACCCACCAAATGTGGCTTCAGGGAAAGGAGGATTAAAACCAGAAGCAATTAAGCATTAAAAAGGAACAGAGAGGGATGATGGAGCCTTTGGGACCAGTCCAAGGCAAATGCTGTCACCACTCTGCCTCCCACCTGCCCCTCACTGTCTGCTGGGACAATGGGTGTCAAGCACCCTTGTGGGGTGGAGACTTTTTGAAGAAAGAATCAGCCTAACTTCAACCCTGACTGGCTTCTGGGAGCCTCTTGGTTTTACAGATGAAGAGAAGGAAGCTTAGAGAAAGGAAAGGACCCCCCAACAATCACCCAAACACCCACTCCGGGAGGGGCCAGGCCTGCAACTGGAGCCTTCAGAGCCTAAGTCCAGGCCTGTTTCAACCAAGCCCTGCTGCATCTCTGCTGAGCATCTGGATGGATTTCAATCCTGTCACAGTTTAATCACAAGTCTTTAGAATAATTTGTTTCATGTAAAATTACATAGAACCAAAGAGATTGCTCTGTGCAGATTCAGAGACTGGCTAAGGAAGGGATAATGACTTGTTCAAGATCCCTCAGCTGGCTAGAATGAAAATTTAACGACAAGTCTTCTGACCTGGTAAACTTAGTAGATGCACATCAAAATCATTCATTTGTTTAGTCATTGGGTCAGTTATTCTATAAACTTTTTTCCTGGTACTAGAGATTGAACCCAGGAGTGCTTTACCAGTGAACCACATCCTCAGCCCTTTAAATTTTTTATTTTGAGACAGGGTCATTCTAAGTTGATGAGGCTGGCTTTGAACTTGCGACCCAGCCTCAGCCTCCCAAGTTGCTAAGATTACAGATACGTGCCACTGCACCCAGCTCTATACACTTTTTTGAGCTTCCTCTGAACTCTCATGGAGCTCACAGACACTTCCTCTCTCTCAGAAGGCTACCTGCCACCTGTTAGAAGGCTGCCTGCTCTTGGTCATCAGTCATGTTCCTCCAGGATGTCTTCCTGGTCCAGAGCCTCCTCCTGAAACCAGACCCAGTTCATGCCTCCTCCTGCATGGCTTCTGGAGCTAGGCCCTCCTCCCCGCTGCCAATTTGGACTATACTCTAGTGCTTCCATCCAAACACCCATTGCCCATCTCCCCCATCCCGTGATGGGCTCCCTGTTTCCCAGTGCTTCAAGCACAGATCTTCTCTCTGCCTTTAGACTCCATAACCTGGTTCCATAGTTCTTATCCAGCCAGCAGTGTGCTGGTAAAAGTATAACAACTAGCTCTCTATAGAGGAAAACACTCACCCAACCAACCAAACAAACAAAAAAGCCATCTGTGTGGTGGTACATACCTGTAATCCTAGCAACTTGGGAGGCTGAGGCAGGAGAATGGCAAGTTCAAGGCCAGCCTCAGCAACTCTGTCCCAAAATAAAAAACAAAAACAAAAAAAAAACGGAAAAAGCTGGGGATATAGCTGAGTGGTAGGGCACCCCTAGGTTTAATCCCCATTAAATACACACACACACACACACACACACATAGATTGGTAATGGTTGCCAATTTTCTTGATGTAAATATTCCCATCACATGATGTCACTGGATGTGAAGCTGAGAGCAGGTGCAGACAATCAGCTTTGGGGTCAGCAGAATCCAACCCTATCTACCATCTCCCTTCCTACCAACTCAGATCAGCAGCATGGACCATAGTGCAGGTCCTGGGAGAGAACACAGGCTTTGGAGTCAGACAGATAGAGTCTAAGACCAGATTTTCTGATTTCTATACTGGCAGTTGTGGTCATGTGAAAATTACTGTACTTCTCTGAGCTTCAGTTTCTTCATCCGTGAGACAGATAAATCAATACTAGTGGTTCATACGGGTTCACTCCTATTGTCATTCCTTCACTCATGCTGTTCCCCTGCCTGGGATGCCTTCTCTTCCACTTACCTACTCTTCTCAAGTCCTGCTTCCTCCATGAAAACTTCCTGTGGGAGACCAACCTTACACATGACTAAGTCACACTCCTGGCTGGGTGCTGAGGTGCTCAGTCACAGAAATGTGACAGAGCTTTCCCCACCCTTCTTG